GAGAGAGAGAGAGAGAGAGAGAGAGAGAGAGAGAGAGCATAACGCCTGCGTGAGGAGGCAGGCGCATTCGTGCACTGCACAAGCCACACACACACACACACACACACACAGAGAGAGAGAGAGAGAGAGAGAGAGAGAGAGAGAGAGAGAGAGAGAGAGCGGGTAAGGTTATCTTGTTGGTTGTCTTGGTCGTTTCAACCAAGGAGGAGCTTCAAGAAGTATCATCACAGGTCAAAGAAGAATGTCGACATTTTGGACCGCGACTGTCGCATGTCTGGTCATATTGTTCTGTGTCGTCGGAGTCCAGTCCATCGGGGTCTGCGATGACTTTCCCTGCGGACCTGTGGGAGCATGTGTCCCCGCTACTGCCAGTGGTACCATTCCTGGCAATCGTGGAACTCCAGATGGGACCAAGAACGGTGTTGGTTTCTCTTGCACGTGCGACGAAGGATTCGAACCCGCGATCGGAGGTGGACCTTGCGTAGATATTGACGAATGTCGTCGGGGGCCAGTCAATCCTTGTGGCCAATTTGGGCATTGCCGTAATGCACTGGGCTATTATGAATGCGATTGTGAGCACGGGTCCGTTGCCACGGTGATTAACGGCGCTCTCAGATGCATCAAGGAGAGCAACGCCTGTGAAGACAACCCGTGCGGATCAGCGGGCATCTGTCATCCGCAGCAGGACGGATCGCACGTGTGCGAATGCATGCCGGGATATGAGGCGACAGGAGGGAACGGAAAAGGACCGTGCAAAGCAAGAGTGGATCCTTGTGTAGGCAATCCGTGCGGGGAAGGAGGAACCTGCAGCGCCGTCGTTGGGGACGGATATCGCTGCACTTGCCTGCCGGGCTACTCCCAGAACGCCCAGTTTGCACGTATCGGAGGTGGCTGCCACGCTCGGGCAATCCATCCGTGACCAGAAACGGCTCAAGCCCCCCCTTGACACGCCAAAAAAAGCACGACTGTCCCTCCCTCTTTTCTTTGATTTGTGCTGTGTGTGTGTGCGCGTGTGTGTGGAAGAGTCTGTGTGTGTGTGTGTGCGCGCGTGTGTGTGGAAGACTCTGTCTGCGTGTGTGTGTGCGCGTGTGTGCGTGCGTGTGCGTGTGTGTGCGTGTGTGTGAGTGGTCATGTTCGTTATATACAACTCCACGAAAAGGCATGACTTTGACCGACTGTTTCGCTGGACTTTCAACGAGTCATCTGGAGGTTGTGTGTGTGTGGTGCGCGCGCGCGCGGAGAGAGAGAGAGAGAGAGAGAGAGAGAGAGAGAGAGAGAGAGAGAGAGAGAGAGAGAGAGAGAGA